GATGTTAACCCCTCACTCCCAACCCAGCCGCCGGGAGGTTGGACATTCGGGATCATCGACTGAGTGCTCCCCTCCCTCCCCGCCCTGACATCTCCATCTCTAGCCTAACAACTACCTTAACCCATCTCACCTCCAGATCTAAACTTTTAACAATAATCATTCCAGCCATCTCTGCGCCCAACATTACTCTCCTCCACTCTCCCAGACCCTTTCCTTTATCCCTCATCCAGTGGAGACTGCTGAGTGTTTTTGCTTCACATAAACCCAAGCAAACTAGGTGTCAAGGAATAGTCCTAATATATACGAGGAACATTAAGACCTGACAAATGAGCAAAGGACGTGAACTAAAGAAATACAAGTAATTAATAAACATGAGAAAAGTTAACTTCAAAGATAGTCAAGTAATTACAAAGGAAATAAGATATCACAAACACTTAAAAAATCACAATAGTCAGTACTGGGGAGGTTGTGATGAAACAGTATTGTTACACTGCTCCAGGCACAGCATTTCTGGAGAGCAGTTTGACAAGATATAGCAAATATTCATGCTCCTAGGCTGGGTAATTACATTTCCAGGAATTTACCGTACGTGCATAATAATGATTTAAAAAATCAAGACAGAGACTGAAGTATGGAAGTATTCATCACAGCATTACAATAGAAAAGTCTGGATACAACTTAATCCGTAGTGTGGGAATGAGTGAATAACTTATGTTGGGATAAAATTTTGTTAAGATTTTAATGTGTTATGGAAAATATTTGTGATAAAATGTCAAGTTAGAAAAAATATTGAATATAATACACAGTATTTCGATTTAAAATTTTTATATATAATATACATAGAAAAAACATCGGAAGGAAACGTGCCAGGATAGTAACTGTGTGTGGTAGAGTGCTAATGACTCTTTTGCTTCGTACTTCTTGATATTACCTTAATTTTGAACATTGTGTATTACTTTAAAAATCAAGAAAAAAGTAAGTGTTAATGAATGGTTTGTTTATTTTCTGAAATTCCTGTTTCACTTTGCTAGTTTTACTTTTTATTTTTCATTTGATTGCCAAGTACTGTTAACACAAAATAAAATTATTTTATACTCTTTGGCAGACAAGAGATATACTGAATGCCCATGTTTTATCCTATCGTTTAAAAAGTACAAAAGATGGGATGGATAAATATTTCTTAAGGGACTGTATTGGAATTACAGTGGCCCAATAAAAGAGAGTACTCTTCTGGTAGAAATAAAAATAATTGATGAAACATTGACTTAAGCTGAGCTTTGGCCAAATGCTTAATATGGATCTGCATCTGATTTTAAATTTAGTGGTACATTGGGAGAACCAGAAGTTGTAAAAGTAAAATATAGAAGTTGTTATTAATACAAAGATGAAACAAAAATTATTACCAGGATTATTCAAGTTGGAGACGAATTGGCTCCAGAGCCTTTTGATACCCTGAGTGAGGACTCTGTGACAGTGTGAGCTGATTCTTCCCTGGCCCCATGGAGGACACCTGAAGCACAAAACGGAACACATTTCCAACTTGCTGTCCATGGGACAGGTGATCAAGAGCCTATCTGGTCATGACTATGATGACTGATTTTGTCACCAAGTGTGTGAATTTTGTGAATAATACTCAGACAAATGCAAAATGGCAAGAGTAGAGTAGAAAATTTTTACTTCTCTTTTTCCATCCACTTTATCGTCTTCATATCACCTATAGAAAAGAACCCAAAAGATGTATTTGCCTCTTTTGTGGATACATTGGCAGAGTTACTTGTAGTGTTTGGAAATTTTTAAGTCCCAGTATAAGATATAAGAATGAGGATTAAAAAAAACTTGTGGTTTATTTATACAGTGAATACTACTCAGCAATAAGAAGGAATAAACTAATGATACATAGAACCATATGGAAGTACCTCAAAAACATGCCATGGGAAATGATTACACAAAAGAGTACATGCTTTCTGGAGTAATGGTAATTTTCTCTGTGTTGGTAGGGATTTGGTTTACAAGGGTGTATGCATTTGCTCAAACTCAGCAAATGTGTACTTAAGATTTGTGTATTTCATTGTATGTAAATTTTACACCAAATATTGAACTCTAGTTAGTGATACCCATGGTGTATTATTTAAGAGGAAATGCATTGATGATTGTAGTTTACTTTGAAATATGTAAAAAATAAGATGAGTTGATGAACAGATGGATCATAAAAGTACAGTGAAATGTTAATGGCAGAATTAGGTGGTGGGTATATGGATGTTCACTATAACATTCTTTCAGTTTTATTGTATATTTAAAAGTGTTCATTATAAAATATTGAGAAAAAAGAATTGCATTTTTATTTCCTAAGGTTATATGATATTTAACAAAATATTTTAAAGTCTCCATTTATTGTAGGTTGATGGTTTGCTTTCTGAGAGTCGACTGAAAGGAGCTCTAGAAGCCAGTGAGAGGCGAGATATTTACCAGAGGTAAAGCACCCTGAATTATGTACTCTTTGCAGGAAATGTACTTATATTTCAGTGAGCAATATTTGTAGCATAGAAATTGAGGAATTATTTCTTTTTTCAATTAGTACAATTTCTAAAAAGACAAGTAATAGCGGGAAATAATTTTGAGATAACAATGAATGAAATTTTCCAAAATGTATTTTAAAATGTCTTACAATTATCTATATCTACAGAGTCTAAATATTGGCATGATAAGATTAAATAGAGAATTACAGATGTTAAAAAGAGGCAGCTTACCCTTATTTTGTACTCTGTATGTACTGAGCAACATGGTCCTCACTCTAAAAACTTCTTAAATAATATTTACACTAACATTGTGAGATACTTATTAATAGAGATGAGAAAATTAAGGTTCACAGTGGTTAGTTAATATGTCTAACGTTACTTAGCTATAAGACATTAAAGTGGGAAGGCAATACAAAACATTTTAAGATCAATAAGAAATGCAGAATTTAGTTAAGCAAGAGAAGGAACCTCACTGCCTTCTCAGTGGAGTTGCAGCCTTTGGTTCATTTGAATCAGACAGAAGAACTGTATCATATAACTTGGGTCTTGGAGAAACCAACTGAAACCTGAAGGTTATAGACTTGCTCTCCTGACAGCAACTGTGAAAACAGCTCAGAGTGAACATCAGGGGCGGAGGCGGAACTGTGGTAGGTTCTTGGCTTGTGTAGCCCCCTGTCCTGTGACCTGTCTTATTCTCTTGGTGGGTAAGGGTTTTTCTTTTATTTTGAATTGTCTTTTTAATCCCTGGGAGAGTTTAAAATTAAATAGGGTTTAAAATTACATAGACACGATGAATTCAATCGAATTAAACTATTAACCCTTTTGCATTAAGTTTAGGACATCACTAAAATAATCTGTGTATTTTGGGTATTTAAAGAATGTATAACATTCAAACAAATATGCAATTCATGCTACTAGTTTAATTGATTCACTAGAATCATTTGAAAAAGTTTTACTTAAATCAGGCATTCAAAGCATTTAAAAGCAAAATAAAATTTAAATGAATTTTAAGGTGTCGAAGAGAATTTTAATTAACTGCATTTATTAGTAGGATTGATTGTGTAAGGAGTTTAGTTCAAGTTGAATTAATCAAATAATAATGAAAGAGAAAGTGAAGGTGATCGTATTTGCTTTACTATAATTTAAAATAGAGTAAGATTTATATGCTGAGTTTGAAGTCCCAGAGAAAACTACGTTTTTAAATTTTATTTTAATAAACTAATAATTATTTTTAAACCGGAGTAACCATAAATAATCTTCTTTGTGTATTAAAAGATCCCTTTGCAGTCATCTTAAAATTCACATTTGCAATGTCTGAAGACATCATTTAGCCCTTATGTTTGATTAGTAATCAGCTGGATATTGAGTAAAAAAATCTTCTTCTTAAACCTTTGAGGACATTGTCTGGTTTCTCTGCACCCAGTGATGCTGATAAGTTTCATGGTCATTCCTTTGTAATTGACCCCTGTCTGGGGCTTTTCTCCTCAGCCTTGGTGTTTTGAAATTTCATCGCAACGGTGTATTTAGGTGTCATTTTTATCCTTCTCAACACGCAGTGGGTCTTTTCAGTTTGAAAACTTGTCTCTCATGAACTCTGGGAGAATTTCTTTTACTAAAAGGTAATTGTTTTTTTACTTCTGTTTATCTGTTTCTTCCTGAAACACTTTGAGTCGGATGTTGAACCTCCTGGACTTTTACTCTAGGTCTCTCCCCACTAGTTTTTGTTTGTTTTTCTTTTTGGTTAACACCTGGAAGATTCTCTTGATGTTTTCTTTTAACTTTTCTATGAGTATCTTATTTCAGTGGCCATATTGTTAACTGATAAGTGTTTTTTTTTCTCTTGTTCTTTAATAGTTCTTTATTCATAGCATCGTGTTCCTGCTTTTAGATGATCTCTTTACTTCTTCCATGAGTGGGATTTTTTTTTTAATTTAATTTTTAAAATTTTTTTGGGGGGGTAATTAGGTTTACTTGTTTATTTATTTTTAGAGGAGGTACTGGGGATTGAACCCAGGACCTTGTATATGCTAAGCATACACTCTACTACTTGAGCTATACCCTCCCCCTGGGCTTTTTTTTTTTTTTTTTAAGTTTTCTTCTTTTCTCTGAATTGTCTTTGGTTCCTCAAGGCTCAGATTATTCACTTTTGGTAGGTCTTAAGTTTCTTCTTCCATGTTGCTGGCTTTCTTTATTATGTCTAATGGCCCTTGGATTAGCCCTTTTTTGTTGTTGTTGTTTTGTTTTTTTGAAGAATGAGGGACTAGGTCGATTTTCCTAGAGAGCTGTCATGGGTTCTCCTGTTGCTGTGTATATAGGTCTCTTTCCTACTAGTGCTGTCCCCTGGAAGAAAAGGAAGTTCTTTGTGTGTGGGCAGGAATTTTAAGGGGTCTGGGGACTAACTTTAGCTGGAGGAGCCCCCAGTGCAGTGGTAGGAAGAGGCCAGCTGGAGTCCTAAACCCCGCCTTCTTATTATTACTCTCCCATTGACTGGCTGTGGTCGCTTTTCAGGACCTCACTTCCTCCCACTGGAGTGAAGGTTGTCCTGAGACTCAGACGAGGTGATGTTTGTGAATCAGGCATGATGCTCAGCACATTCTCACTGTTACTATCATTATTAGTTTTGTCTTCTTGGCTGTGTCCTAGGTTTATGGAATTTTAGAGCTGGGGAAGCACTTTAAAGTCCAGTGCTTTCCTTATTTTAGAGACAGGAAACTGAAGCCCAGAGTCACTTAAGTTTCCTGAGCTTTGGTTATCATACCTTCCTACTTTAGATCTTGGCTCTGAAGATCACCCAAGCGAATGGATGGAAAGGTGTAAATGTGAATTTTTTTTAAACATCATTCATACAACAGAAATTGCCTTACCTGTTTAAAGATTTATGTATGGTTTTATAAAACAGCTTTCTGATTCTGATAGCAAAAAAAAAATCAATGTTTTTTCTTTCTTTTAAAAATTTAGATGTATCCAATTAAAACAGGCAATCGATGAAAATAAAAATGCTCTTCAAAAATTAAACAAAGTAAGTATTCTAGTTAATCATATTATTAATAGACTGTTTTTACACAGGTATTTTATTAAGTGGGAGTTCATTAGAGTGGGTAAGTTCCTGGGTTCACAGAAGTGATGACGCGTAACTGTGGTTAGTACTCACCTGCCCTGCGGGCTCCCTGAGTGTGTGCTTGGGGGCAGAAAAGCCAGGGCTGCAAATACTTGTAACAGTCCAGCTTTGATGAGCTCACCCAGCATTGAGGACTCACAAAATCCCTGAAGAAGCCATTTTTTATTTTTGCATTGTATAAATTTTATGTTTTGCAGTTTGGGATTGTTTTGATTTTAATTACTCTGTGGGGAGAATACATAAGAAGCATCATGTATCACACAGCAGCGCTATTGTCGGTGACTCTGCAGAAGTAGGAGGAACCAGAACTTACTCTTGGCAGTCCCTTCAGGATTTTCTCTTTTATTATGAGCCTGAGCTTCAGCCAGGCTTCCAGGGACAGAGACTTAGAGCATTTAGGGTGGAAGGCATTTGAAAGTCACCTCTCTGCCTGTGTCTGAATCTTCTTTCCTGCATCTGAGACAAGTGGTCACTGAGTGTCTCTTCTGAATTTCTCCAGTGAGAATTCAGAAGGCAGGCTGACCCTAAATTTGAAAACCTAATTACTTCTGTTTCACAAAGGAGGAAACAGGCTTCCAAAGGGGAGCCAGCTTTCCTGGTGTCTCACTGGCAGTAAGTGGCAGAGCATGGGATTGGCACCTGTCTTTTTGTCTCCAAAGCCAGTCCTCGGTCTGGAACCTGTCCCTTACTGACTGTAGAGGGTCTGAACTACCTAGCAAGAAAACAAAACAAAAAAGCAAGTAGTATAATTTTATTTTGTCATTTGGTTTGCGTTCCAACGTCATAATCTACATTTCTTTCAATCTTATTTCTCTAAGGTAGGCGTAGTCTCATGTTGGTATTTATTTTGTCTCCTGGAACTCATTAGAGTTTTTTCTTTTAAAATAAGTGTGCTTGGAAACAGAAATTTTTTTTTTTTAGTGAAATAGATTTATGTTCTCTTATAGGCTGATGAACCTGCACCTGTTGGGAACTATAATCAGAAGAAAGAGGAGGAGCAGAGTCTTTTGGAGAAGCTTACCCACCAGCTGCAGGAACTTGCTGTGTCCATAAGTAGAGAAAGCGTAACTGAGTATGTGCCCTGTCTTCATCTCTTTCTTTCAGATATTATGTCACCAGCAATTTTAATGTTTGACTCAGAGTAAAGTCACACGTAGATAAAAACCAAGCGGCGGTGACAGTATACTCAGCATGTATTTATTGTGTATAGTAGAAAGTCTGCGATCCCGTGAGAGACGTAGAGACATAGAGGTCATATCTCTGCCCTCAGGGAATTTAGAAGCTAGTTGGGGAAGCCAAACAGAGGTCTGACAAGCTAAACAAACAAATGTTAGAAAGTGAGGGTGATGCTTTTAAGGTCAGTGTTGATGTAGAAAAAGAAAATTATTTGGATTGTCTACTTGTATATTTCCTCCTTTCATAAATAGTCTTGTAAAATTGGAAGCAGAAACATGCATTGTTTTCCTGCTGGAGTGGATGTTTAATAATAGCCTTTGTAAAATGGGAAGAAAACTTGATTGTGTAAACAAACCCACCTCATGGGAGGCAAAAAGGGAAAAAAATCAACTGTTTAGACTCTTTATGCTGTTTCCCGTACACTGTATCCAGGGGAAAATGCTAAAGGATGTAGATGCAAGGATTCTAGGATTTCCACTGATGTCCAGTACTGAGAATGACAAGGTGGCTGGTACGGGGCTTAACCTGCCATAAACAACTGGAAAATCTGGACGCAATATACAAAGCGGCTGTTTGAAGTCAATGAACATCGGCCAAGTAGAGCTGATATCCTTAATACAGGGAGACACAAGCGGAGAGTCCTGTGTTTACCCAGACCCTCTCCCTGGAGACAGCTTATAGGCTGTGGTGCAGGAAAGTGGATCCCAAACAGGGAGCAGCGGTCCCACCAGGCTGAGGAGGCAGGGGTCAACTTCCAGAGCTGCAAAGGCAGCTGGGACTTGTGGGAGAGAGAAGTGAGTTGCAGACAGAGAGCCCCAGAAATCTGGGTGGGCTCCTGGGCCGCACAGAGCACGAGTCCAGGAAACCTGGCAGAAAGCACCTGCTGGGAGACTGAGAGCTTCAGAGATTCTGGAGGTCACACAATCCTGGGGAAATATTGGAGTTTGTACCCAGTTAGAGTAAAATGACCTCGGTGAATGCTTCAGGCATTTAGTTGGAGATCACATAAGGTCCATGCCCCAGGGGTAGACACCCTAATATTAAGACCTATGGGCTTGGAATACAGACAAAACTGAAGTATATCTTTTCCAGCAAAGCCTAAAACCAGACCTTAACAGGAACAAGGTCATTTTAATGTGTAACAGAAAAAATTCAACGCTTTTTAAATGATAACAACATAATTCTAAGTCTCTAAATGTATCATCCACAATGTCCAGTAATTTAAAAAATGACTAGAAATGCAAAAAAGTAGGGAAAAATAAATAATAATTAAACAGGGACAGTTAATAAAAGCAGACCCAGATCTGAGTCAGAGAGTAGAGTTAGCTGACAAGGACTTCTAAATAATATGATTAACATGTTAAAGAAAATAGAAGAAAATATGGATGAAATGGGAAAAAACATGGAATGTTTTAAGAGAATTCAAATGTAGAAAATAATAAAACTGGGCATTCTACAACTGCAAAATTTAATACCTGATGGAATAATGGCTGAGAAATTTCTAAATCTGATTCTGTATATAGATTCAAAAAGGCAGAAGATGTCTTGTAATACAGAGAAAAAAATAATCTGTAGAAGCTTAGATGATCCAAATATGAGAATTAGCAAACCCCAGAGCAACAAAACAACTGTTTTCAGCCTGTTAAAGAATTTGTTGGAGAGATGGGCAGGTTGAATGATTAGAGAGGAATCTTAAGCAGAGAAATGGAAACTAGTAGAGAACAAAATGGAAATTCTGAAGCTAAAAACTACAATATGTAAAATGAAAAAAAAATTTATTGGATGTTTTAACAGAAGATTGGATACAATAGAGGAAAAGATCAGTGAACCCAAAGATCAAACAATAAAAAAATTTACAAACTCATGCAGAAAAAGAGAAACAGAATGCAAAGAACAAATCTGAATGTAAGTCTCGGTTAGGTGAGGTGTGGAGAACTGTACCTCTGCGGCAGTGTCTGCTGAGCTGTTTCATTGTGAGCTCCTTGAGGACAGGGAATTGTACCTGGTTTACCTTTGTATCTGCTATGTCTGACGTGGAAGCTGACGTATAACACCACCACCACCACCACCACCATCATCGCCTGCTCTTACTGGAAGTCCCCTATGGGCAGGCACTGCTCTAAACGCTTTGCAAGTTTGTATTCCTCCAATCTTCATGACAGCCTTGTGAGAAAGGCAGGTTCTACTGTTATCTCCACTTTACCAATGAGAAATGGGGAGCTGAAAAGGAACCTACCCAAGGTCACTCAGTGAGGAGACAGAGCCGGAATTTAAACTCCATGCTCTAGCTACTGTGCAAATAGGGCTCACGCAGCATTTGCCGAACGGATGAATCCAAGTCTTAAAGACAAGTCTCTTGGCCTCAAGTCCAGCTCATGCTCTGCCGTGTCACCACGGCATTCCTCAGATATATTAACTCCTTCTCCACTCTCAGTCCTTCAAGGCACGTATTCTTTGCTTGCTTTGCTAGATCGTAGAAACTATTAGTTGTACTTTCCTTTTATTTCCTCTACTTGCCATTTTCAAATATGGGGCCAGTTCTTCTGTATGTAGAAATTAAACTCATGCTTGATCTGTTATACGTTATTTCAAGTGATCCTCATCAAAGAATTATTTTTTGCAGAATTGGGGCGCCTACTGAAAGAGAGGGAGATGACGATTCTGTTGAAGATGAGGTAGAGGAAGAAGAGGAAGATGAAGAAGAAAGTGAAGAAAGTAGGGGGAAAGAAGAAGAAACAGAAGAGGAAGAGGAAGAGGAAGAGAGACAGGAAGGTGACTCTCAGCAAGAGGCCGCAGGTGGAGAATACATCGCTATTGGAGATTTTACGGCTCAGCAAGTCGGAGATCTTACATTTAAGGTAGGTGGAAACAGACAGGAACCTAACCTAACCTAAGGATAGATTTGCAAACCTAACAGAATAAGAAAACTCTGCCTGTCTACCCGGATTAGATGTTCCCGATATTAACTTTTTAAAGACTCAACCTGTTTAAATAAAATAAGTTATAATTATGATTTATAGGCCATAGTCATGTGAAAGCCTGCTGTCAAAGCTTGCTGGTAGTAAATTGGTAAAAGAGTAAATGCTCTTCTGTTTTTAAAAATAGTTTTAATGTTGATAATTCTGAATTTAGCAGTAAATGTTAATTAACATTTTTTTGCTTGATTTTGCTTTGAGAAAGGGGAAATTCTCCTTGTAATTGAAAAACACCCCGACGGTTGGTGGATGGCTAAGAACTCCAAAGGAGACAAAGGTCTTATTCCCAGAACATACCTGGAGGTTAGTCTTTGTTGTTTATGCTTCCCTTTTTTTCCTTCAAAACTTTTTTTCGTTTTTGGTAAAACACTAAGCTGTATTCTTTGATCAGTTGACTAGTGAATGACTTGAAATACAGAATTTGCTTCAATTTTAGAGGGAGAGGGCATGGGGAAAATATCACGTATTAATAGTCCTGGGGACCTGTGAAGTGCTCTTATGCGGGTGAGCTCTTGAATGTTATCCTGCAGTGCTGGCCATGAGCACCCCCCCACCCCCGCGTCCCCGAGCGGTGACCTCATTAGCATAATCTCAAGTATGTTTGGAAGGAGCTCCTGTCACTCAGGAAATTCTAAGAGTTTTAGGAACTCTGTGCCGAGAATTAGGCATAAAGGCCAAATACGTTTTCTCATTATCCCACACCCATTTTTAAAAAATGAAAAGAAACAGATGACATTATTTTAATAATGTATTTTATATTATCCAGAATAGCAAAAATATTATCATTTCAACATATAAATCAATATTTTAAAATCTTTTCTTTTTTTCATACTAAGTCTTCAAATTCCCCTGTGTGTTTTACTCTTAAATGGCACATCTCAATCTGGGCTGGTCACATTCCAAGTGTCAGTAGCCACAGTGGCAAGTGGCTACCCTGTTGCCCAGCTCAGGTCTGGATCGTCTGTTTTGATGGCAGCATAGTATGCCAGTCCCATATGGACGGACATTTAGGTTGTTTCCAACCTATAGTAACTATAAATTATATTGCAAAGAAGCCAGGATTAGCTTCCACTATGAGTTAAAGAAGGTGTTCAAAACAGTGACCAAAATAAGGTGGAAGCGTGTTTCTCTTGTATATGGAAGAAGAGTAGAGGTAGGAACCAAGAAATAGTAAGGTCTCACCTAATATTTGACTCTGTGGTTAGTCTGTGAGGAGAAATTCCTCTGTAATTTAGGTTGGCTGCCAGATCTGTTAATGATTCCAAGCAGTGAAAGAGGAAAGAGGAAGAAGTCAAAAGGCCTGAGCTGCTGTCTTTTAAAGGAGGCTTCCTGGAAGTTACACAAAAAACTTCCAGTTACAGCTCCTTGACAGGGATTTTGTTTCTTGACAACACCTAGCTGCAAGGAGGGCTTGGAAAATACAGTCTTTTAGCTGGTTTATTGCTGTAATCAGGGATTCTGTTAGAAACGAAGAAACCGTGTTATGATCGGTCTGCACATGCACCTTGTAGACTGTCTGCTTATTTCCCTGAGATAGATTCCTGGATGCTCATTGCTTGTGAAAACGTTTACACCTTAGTATTTTGATTGAATTTGCCATTTTACCTTTTAGGAAGAAAGATATACCTATTTGGACTCCCACCTCCAGCACAGGAGAGGACCTGTTTGTCCACACATTTGCCAGTGATGGTTGTCATCAATCTTTTTGCCAGTGTGATAGGCAAAAAAAAAAAAAAGACTCATTATTGCTTTTTATTTGCATTCGTGACCACTTCTATTTCTTCTTTGCAAATTTTGCAAAATTTGAAAATTTTCTTTTCAGTTATTTTGACTTTTTCTAAGGGATTTTTAAAAAATTTCATTGATTAATAAGAGTTTTTGTAATATTTTAAAATATTGCCCTTGGAAACCTGTGACAGATGCCCTCTTCATTGACTTTCAGCCAATTTTTTTTCAGCCAATTTGTTTATTTTTTATGCAGCTGAATCTGTCAGTGTTCCACTTATGATTTTTGGTTTTAGTGTTGTGGTTGGAAAGGGCTTCCCCATCTTACGATTATTTTCTTCTAATACTTTTACGATTCCTTTGTTTCTATCTTTTCTTCTTTTTTATCTGAATAAGTTCTGTCTGGCATTTATTTTGATTAAACTTCTTGTCTACCTCTATCCTTGAAATTTTTTCAAATAGTGACATTACCAACCACGTATGGAAATCTTTTTCCCACTGATTTTTGACATGCCCATCATATGCTAAATCCATATCTACACTTGAGTCTTTCTGAAAGTAATTTTATTTTTGCATTAGGTAGAAACTACTTCATATTTCAATAACTTTTCAGCCCTGTAATAAAGAAGAAGGCCAGGAATCAAGTGAAGAAGGCAGCGAAGAAGGTGTGGAGGCCGGGGAAGAAACGGCAGAGGAAGCAGAAGTGAAACAAAGGTAAAAAAAGGCGCGAGGGGATATCAACGTACGTTCAAGAAATGTTTTATCTGTTTATTTTTACTATTATAAATAATTCAAGAATTTCTCGAAATGGAAACAACTTATAGTTTGAGAGCAGGGCTTTTTATATTACTATTTGGTTAAGGATCATTACAACTTTAACCTTGTGGTTATTTTTGGTGCATGATCTTATTCTCTGTTTCATCTGGACACTGTTAGGTTTTTAGAACTCATAATTATATGCTTCGTCCTTTGATTAATGAGGTTCCCTAACTGAGTGAGTAGGCATCACCCTTCTGTGCAGTCACCTAGCTACTTTGTCTCCCCAGACCTGAATCTCATTGGAGCACTGTCCGAAAAGCCATCTCAGAGGTCAGTATCCCCTGTCTTGTTAATGATGTCTCGTTTTGTTACCTAATAGTTCTGATAAGGGTTCAGATTCAAAACAGGATGGAAACTTTAAATGATAGCATTGCCTCTTAAACAGGGTACAGGGCATAGAATGCACAGAGCATAAAACATCTATTTCTGGTTTAGTAAGTCTGTGCACCAAGTAACATTTCTCATCAGGTCTTTTCCGTAAGAAGAGTCGATTTGAGGACTTGGAAATATCTCACATTGATTCTGCCTGAATTTTCTGTCATTTGGGTAAAGACTGTTGTTAAATTTTAGTTAATGTTCAAAAAATTCCAAAAAACTCAAAAAAGTAAGAAATTATCCATAATCTTATCATTTAAAAAATTACGTAACAAAATGAAAATCCATTCCTTCTGTAAGGAATCACCACTAGCGGTTTAGTAAATATATCCTTTCTGACTTTTTACCCTACTTCTCACTTACATAGCACGCATGTATGTGCGTGTGTGTACATATACCAAAAAGCCATCAATATTCTGCAGTGCACTCAGTTGGCAGCATCGGCCCATCTGTGGCATGGCAGTACACTGTGGAGCAGAACAGGACGGGGGACGTTTTGATGAGGGACGTGCAGGGAGCAGCAGGTTTCCAGCGCAGAGCTCAGCCCACTGGGCTCTGCAGGGGGCTTAGGTCCCCGGGAGAGGCCAGGACTCAGCGATGGCCTCCTGTCAGGAATCTGGGTTAGACTGCTATATTCTTCCACTAAAGTGTGTACATTTGTGTTTTCCCTTTGGGGGTTGTAGTTGCTGTCGTGACAAAGAGAAAATATTACAGAGGTGAGGAAGCATGAATGAAACCAAGCAAGCCAGTTTTGTTTTACTCTCTTCAGCAGATAAACACCGTCGACATGTTAACCGCGATGGGAGCCATTCCGGCGGGGTTCCGGCCTTCCACACTCTCCCAGCTGCTGGAGGAAGGTAACAGGTGCCTGCCAGCCACCACAGACTGCTCGTTAACAGTCAAAGTTTGCATCTAATTTTTCTGTCAAAGCCAAAGCAAGCTGTTGAAAAAGATGTTGAATGTCACATGTCTTGGACACTCATCTTACCCTCCCTCTAGTGGAGGAAGGATCCCTGATCCTGGCCTGGCAGGGGTCGGTCTGTTCACCCGTGCTCTGGTTCCAGCCCTTTCCTGTATCTTCCGCCCGCTCTCCCCTCCCTCCACTGGCTCCTTCCCGCATCAGTACTACGGGCAAACCTAATCCCTCCCACCTTTACGAACCGGCCCCTCCAGCCCTGTGCCGTTCTGGCTGAAGCCCCCCTTTCTCTGCTTTTCTTCACAGCAAGACTTTTCCACAGAGTTATTCCTGTTAACTGGTGCCGTTTGCATATTCATTCTTGGATTTCCCTATACTTGGCTACATACGTTCATACACTCACTTTAAAGAGGAGTAGCACTGGGGGAAGGCTCTCCTGGATGCCCTGAGCTATTGAGTCATCTTACAATTATTTTATTTAGTCTTCTGTCTGCTTATTTTTCTGAACCACTTCCCCTGCTCAACTGTAAGCTAATGAGGGAGGGGTCGTACTTCTCTGATGCACATTTGTATTTCCAGCTCCTAGCAGAGTACCTGGCACAGAGTAGGAACTCAAAAAAGGTTTCTTGAGTGGGTAACTGATTTTGTAATAACTATTCTTCGTTACTAAAGGATGGAGGAACAGTATTAAAATGCTTTTGTGTTAAGAAGTAAAACAAATGATTATAGACTTTTGCTAAAATATCCAAAAAGTGTTTACAGGTTTTCTGCATTTTACAAAAATATCTGAATAGGTCATCTTCATCACGGAACATGTTACTGGCGTAAAAGTCTTTAAGGTCTTTCCTACAGCTGCTTCCAGATCCGCTCTGATGCACTTCTGTCTGTTCATTTTCTCTCATTCTTACCTCTCTTGGTTCATCTGTCTTGGGAAGCAAGTTTCTAGCAAACAGCTTGGCATTTTCGACGACCGTTTCTTAAATTTGTGCCATAACCTGGTGGACTTGGGGGTTTGAATTTCATTTGTCCTTTGTAGGAAAATAAAGGAAAAATTATTTTTGCAGGGACTCAGTTTCGAGCAAGCTACTTCTTACAGCCAGAGCTCACTCCTTCACAGCTGGCCTTCAGAGACCTGACGTGGGATGCTAAAGCGGGCTCGGTGAGTATGGTTGCCATCATATAGTGGTAACTTTTCCAGATCTAGTCATGGTCGCAAGTATACAAATAGCATGTGAATGGATTAACGTATTATAGAAAACAAAAAAAAATTGTTCCTGTATTGTAATTATTGTAATTTTGAAACACTCAGTGATAGTTTCATAGCTAAGACAAAACTTGGGTTTATTACCTTGACTCTATCTTGTTTCTCTTCTCCATTGCTCTCTTCTTTCACTGTTACAAAGAAATACTACTGGGTGTCTATCTTAATCATGCTTTGCCTCACTTTTTCACCTGTAAAGAGAGGCTAGTAGCAGTAGCACTCCCAAGGTGGAGCTGTTGTGAGAGTTACATTGTACGTGTGAGGGGCTTGGAGCCGGGCAGGCACTTGATGATAACTTAGTGAATGCCAGCTGGTGTCACTGCGACTAGTAGTAGCGAGGCGCCTGGCAGTGCCTGCTGATGCCGTTTTGGGGTGGGGGGCAGCTTAGAGTAAAGGATTCCTGGTGTCCCCATAGCTGATGTGAAGTCTCCTCTCCTCTCCTCTGTGGCACATGTAAACGACACTGAGCACCTCGTGCCCCCTCCTGTTTCCCTTCCTCCCCCAGAGCCTCAGGGAGAGGTAAGAGGCCCAGGGTGGTCAGGTTTTGATGCAGAGGGGAGTGGCATGCACAATTTTTGTGATTTTTTCCCCCTCAACCAGAGCATGGCCTGGAACCTTCTTAGCCTGAAGTACCTTTTCTTGCAAGTCAACAAATATATTCTGTTTGGTCTGTGTAGTGTACCAGTACTTGAATAAATGGCATTTAATTTTATGAGCTTGTATCCGGAGAGCTAAATATTCAGCTCTCATTTCTTAAATTGAAAAGGTGTCAGACTGTTAGATAGTGGCTTTATTTTTCTCCGTGATACGGTATTTAAGTGGAAAGACCCATAAGCATAAAGCAGAATGTTAAGAATTGAAGATGTTCTTAAATAAAAAACTAGAATGCTGATGCATTTGTTGACATTCTGAATGATCTTGTGAGGCAGAGCTGAGTAACTGCATCCAACGGTCAGTGCGTTCTCTCTGTCACAGCATCTAAATAAGAAGCCAAAGGACAGTGTAGATAAGGGCTTGGGATGAAAACTGGGAGGCACTAACTGGAGCCTGTTAACGCCACGTGACCTACACGTACCCTCCTTAGGTGAGAATGAGCTATAAGAAGGAACCCGGAATACGGTCGATCCCATGGTCAGGTCATGCATTTTACCGGATTGTACTGACTGCTCTTTCCATCACAGTTTTTTTTGTATTTCACAAAGTAATGCAAATATGTTCAACATAAATATTTATGGAAATTTTAACTCAGGTTTTGATTTAAACAGGCTGTTGACACGTTTCTTGCGTGTATTTGTGTGTAAAACTTTTTCTTTTGTTCTTTTTTACTCTATATACATTGTCTTAAGCATTTACAAAAGATGCTTTGAAAATGAATTTTTCTTCTAAGTCATGAAAGTAAAACTTTTCTAATAACTAATTTTTCTCTCAGATTAGGTCGAGACCAAGCCGTGTTTCATTGATTCTGACCCTCTGGAGCTGTAAAATGATTCCTCTTCCAGGATCGAGCATCCAGGTTCTCAGCAGACACGTGCGCCTCTGTGTATTTGATGGCAACAAGGTGAGCTTACTGGGAGTCAAACCAGTTCACACCAGGATGGGAAAATGTTTTGTTAATGCCACATAGTAAACATGTACTGGCCGAGGTCTGCCTGTCTCTTTCTCTCTCTGTCTCTCAACCTCTCTCTCCCTATGTGTGTGTGTCTGTATAAGTATATATGGGAAATAATATGTGGTAGTGTGCAAACCACATGGCTTCAGATGACATAGACTTAACTCCTGGCCCTTTCTGTTGCTAAGTGTGTCATGTTGATGCATCACAGTTAACTCCACCGAGCCTTAGATTTTTCACTTAAAAAAAGGTACCGATGTCCATCTTCTAGTATTGCAGACAGTCCAGGTTTTAAGTGTAGAGGATTGCGTTTTTGAAGATGCATACACCTGCGTAACCAACATCCCAGTCAAGATGGGAGAATTACATCACCTTACAAGTTTCCTGTGTCCTTTTCCATTGTGTTCCTCTCTGATTCCTAAGAGAATATTTTTTACCCGCTACCAGACAAAGAATTTGAATAATTCTTAATTAATTGGTTTGTTTGTTTGATACGGCTGAGCCAGTAGGTGTCGCCAGTGAGCAGGAGATGATGAATGGCCTTCTTTCCCTGAGATCTGGTTTGATATTTTTTGCTACACCTCTCCCTGTTCTCATACACGAGAACATAAAATAAAGACTGAAATTTTATTTTGAATAACATATCAAAATACTAGATGTTATTTTATATAAAAATAATAGCCGTTAATTTATGAAACAAATTTATGTCAGATTTCCAAATTGAGGAGTTAGAGAGTACATTTCATAGTTACACACTCATCCTGTTTACTTAAGAATACTTCCTTAATAAATCTAAGCCTAGTCACAAATAGAGAGCATTATTATTGAAACTAATTGAGACGGTTTCCAATCATGAGTGAGGAAGCCCCGCTCCGAACAACTGGCCCTGTGATGACAACTGTAAATTCTGGGTATTCTGCACAGAGCAGCTCCCTGAGAGGCTCTGAAAAGCAGCCCAAAGCAGGCAGATCCTTGGAGAGGGAGTCTTAACTTTTGGAGTCTGCTGTTTGATTTTTTCTTTTTGTTCCCTGTCTTTTCATTCCTCTGTTTTCTTTCTTCTGTCTTCCTGTGTGCTGCCTGAGCGTGATTTAGAACGCCATGCTGAGCTGTGTGCAGTGCTGTTGAGTGGGTCCCTGCGTACGGCTTTTTAGTGGTCGCTCTGGGTATTGTCTTATACCTCCGTGGCTCCCCGCAGCCTGCTCGTGTCACCGTTCCTGTTCAAGTGACGTGTAGAAACCTTGCCACCCTTTAGTCCTGTATACCCTCCCTGCTTTGTAATTGTCTTAAATATTTCCTCTATGTACATTGAGAACCACATCACACAGGATTATAATTTTGCTTCAATCATCAAATGTAATTTAGAGAACTTAGAAACTCTATCGTATTTACCCTTGTTTTCATTCTTTCCATTGTTCTTCCTTCCTTCCTGATGTTCAGTGATTTCTTCTTTTTTCATCTTTTTTTTTTCCTGTTTAGAGAGCTTTCTTTAACCTTCCTTTTAGGATTGGTCCGCCAGATGCAAATTGTCTTCGTTTTCCTTTGGAAATGTCCCTGTTTCCCCTTTATCCCTGAAGGATACTTTTACTAGATAGAAAGTTCTGGGTTGGCGAGTCTTTTCTTTAAGCACTTGAACACACTGTGCCGCTTCCTTTGGCCCCCGTGATGTCAATCCGCTGTCACCGGGGCTGGTTTTCCCCTATGGGTCATCTTGGTGGTGTTTCTGTCTCACTGCTTTCAAGATATTTGTGTTTAGTTTTTAGAAATTTATCTGCTTTGTTATAAACAAAGTTTGAGGTTTATCCTGTTTAGGGTTTTTCTTGACTTCTTAAACTGTAGGTTAATGTCTTTTGACATATTGGGGGATTTTTCAGCCATTAGTTTTTCAGAGAGACTCAGAGCCCAGGAGACGCCCAGTTTTAGTCTCACCCTAGTCTTTGATTTTCTCTTCTGTGTATGGGCCATTGAAATATGCGCCTCACTTTGGAGTCCTACTCAGGCTTTTTAAGTATCACTGCTTTATGCTGGGAGCAGAGCAGCTGTGTTGAAGCATAAATTCATCTTGAGCAGAAGTCCTTATACAGCTGTATTTGTTTGTTTGGTTGGTTGGTTTTGGTTGCGGGGGGGTAATTTGGTTTAATTATTTATTTATAGGAGGTACCGGGGATTGAGCCCAGGACATCATGCATGCTAAGCATGCGCTCTACCACTTGAGCTATACCCTCTCTCCCCCTTTTACATTCTTGATGCAGTTTGCTAAGTGGAAAAATCTCTAAACTTTTCAAATCATTGATTACTTCATCCTTGAGTTCTGGTTTTGTGCAGAAAACAGAATGATTCTGAGCCAGTCACTCACCTCTAGCAGCAGTTTTCTTAAATGTGTCATGAGATGTTTGGGCCAAGTCCTTTTTAGCTCTCAGAGTCAGTGACTCAAGAAAGATGTAAAATTATCAAGTAGAAGAAGTTACTCCTGAATCAAAATCAGTCTTCTCCAAGCTGAGAAGATAAAAGCAGAAATAGCATGAGATCTGAGAGTCAGTGACTGCAGAGGACCACCTGGGTATTGGAAGTGGGAACCCTGTTTGCAAAACCAAGAGGGACCTTAGAATAAATAAAATGCAGTCTCACATTAAACGCTGCGTAGTAATCAAAAGGGGTTTGTATGCCAAGAGCCCAGGCTGAGAATATATATTCTTTTAGAAAGGGTAAATAAATTCATATATGTTAGTCATTGGAGGAAACGGTCACTTGCTGTGTGGGAACAACTTGGCTGCCCATCAGATCCTCCTGGATGCCTCCCAATAACAGGAGAGAGGGCAGTGAATTGAACTTGACCTAATATGGCATGTTTGGGATGACTTCTAATTATTTTGAAAGCTTGGTTTTTGAAGTGCTATACTAAAATATTTTTATCAAAAATGAAAATTGTGTATTATCTGTTCTTCTGGAAGATACCCATTTTTGGCCATGCTTTATAGAGCTTGAACTCTTTTTTTTTTTGTACAGTTTTTGCTCCTTTTGTATTCCATTGCTTTTTGCATCTTGTAGGACTAACTTCTTGCAATAGCATTTTAAAGACATTAAATTATATACAGGAGTAAACAGTGAACAGCCTGAGCCCCAGATTTGGAAGCCTCAATTGAGGGAGGGCAGGTAGGAGGTGGTAAAAAAAGACTTGCAGACTGTAAGCCCTCTGGAAGAATCATCACCTGGGGTGGGGGTAGTGTCGCCCAGGCCAGAGATGGCAGCATGGGCCCCAAACCAGCCTTGTCTGCGCTGGAGGTTGACGCCCTCACTTTAAAGCAGACTGACGGGCAGAGACGTGTACTTTGTGTAGCCTCGGCAGACACCCAGCTGGCTCGGTCTTTCCTCAGCCTCACCTCCCTTCTGTCCCCAGCCCTTCACCATTCCTCCTGCTTCTGGACTGCTGGTCCCCTCTCCTCCCCTCCTCACTGTTTCTAGTTACCAGTGACCTGTGGCCACTAGACCAGCACACGACATAGAAGTTTGTTCCAAAATAAAATTTTAAGAAGACATTAAATTATAGGAAGAATATAATTTATGTCCCTAGAGATCTTGAAGAAAACTAACTGTATCTGAGCTGTTAGCATTGTCTGTCTTGGTGGCAGGGTCATGGACTACACATAAAATGCTCTTGTGGGTCACATGTCTTAAAAGGTCACTTGTACCTGAGATTTCACGTAATTTTCTGGTTATTCTATCTCAGATATTAGGGATTTCACTTGCTATAATTTATTACTAGTGCAAAGATCTGAGTCTGAATTCGTTTTATCATTTCTTTCTTTGTTTTATAATTAAGTACTGTAATCCTTGCTTTTTGTTAATTATCTTAAAACCTATGTGTGTGCTGGATGTAAAAAGAAAAAAAAATTACGGAATTGCACAAAGTAAGAAGTAAAACACACGCCTTTCCCTCTGCTCCACGCTGTAGAGCACTGTTGACTGTTTGGGTACATGGAAATGGTGATGTTTAAAAGAGCTTTCTACAGTATGGTTTCAAATGGGAAAATCTCATTTCAGGTTCTGAGCAACATTCACACAGTCAGGGCCACGTGGCAACCTAAAAAGCCCAAGACGTGGGCCTTCTCTCCCCAGGTGAGCAGCCGCCGAGTGAAGGGGGCGGGACGTGGGCTGCTCTTACCCGCTAAGTATTACGCGGCCAGTTTCTAACCTGAGGTTGCCCTGAAATAACATATTTATAGTTAACACAGGATATATGGGGCCAGATTTGAATCTTTAGATGATTTAATGTTTCTTGTGGACTTTGATAAAAATTGCTCATGTTTCTGACTCACCAAAATTGTAATTCCTATGAATCATCTCATTCAGTGGATCTCAGGGTTAAATTCTAGAAAATTCCCTCTCATGGAAAATGAAAGCAGAAGGATAAAACTTAGGACGTGCTTTTCACAAGTGCCGTCTCCAGCTGTGCTAACGAGAGCGGTGCATTCTCGGGTAAGATCCTGGGTGCCGCGAGGGGGACCTGGTACATCACACCCAGGTGCTGCCAGGACGGGACCAAAAAGTCTCTGGAATGAGGTCCAGTGGCTTCAGAGCACTGAGCCGGTTGTTAACGTAGATGCCAGTGAAGACGAGGATGTCTTTAGGTTCTTTTAATAATATTAATTGTGTGTAGTTCCGGTTACTTTACTTTTTTTCTACCTCCGAGGTCTCATGACTTCTCCCCCACAGCTCCCTTGGGTCACTGCACCCTAGGGGCCCCCGTTAACCTCCTGTCGCATCAGGGGATCTGACAGCAGGACAGCGGTTCACTGGGAGGCACGGCGCGGGGAGGAGCCCGCGCCTCACTGGGGTGCTGCGTGCACCCGCGCTTGCCTGGAGCACGACTCCCAAGCGTCCAGCCTGATCTTCCAGGCACCGCACTGCTTGGGGCTGGGCGCCACCCTCCACGGTTCTGATGGTGCATCTCCGTGTATGCACAGTGGTTAGGGTAGAATCTTCTCATGTTTTCTTGGATATAAAGACGAACTGTTTGAAGGGAGGAATAATAAGTCTGTGTTACTTTGTGAATGAAATTAAGCGTTCGTGAGGTGTGAGGCGTTCTTCCTAGGTACAGTGAGAGCTTACATTTAGTGGAGAAGAGACACATCCATGTGTAAGACCAGTGTCCTCTGTTTACGGAGCCCTAACCACATGCCAGGCACGGGGGGAGGCCTGAGGGCAGCTCCGTGGGGTGGGTGCTGTTGAGAACTGTCACGTGGGCAGAATGTCCTGGTTCTGGGGCTCCAGGCACCATGGGAGCACAGAGGAGCGTGAGCTTAATTCTCGTCCTCAGGCACAGGGAAGTTTTTATAGAAGAGAAACCAGACCTTGAAGGGTGGGTCAGATTTTCTAGGCAAGGAAGAGAGATGCCATTGCCGAGGGAGAGGGAACGGAATGAGCAAGAGGAAAGGAGGGGAAATTTTCCAAGGCACGCCTCAGGGAAGCTGAGCAAATGAGTGGGCAGCCCATGATTTAGTTCCATTCACGAAGGACAATGGTTAATACAAATATCTTATCACACATGAGACTATTTTTGTGATACCTCTGAGGACCTCGGAACAGTACTTGTTTCACATTAGCCTCTGCTCTAAGCAAAGAGTAAGTGAACGTAAAGCTGTTTTTCTTTAACAGAAAAGTTACATTTTATAATTTCAAATCATTGATGTAGATGAGTGCAATCCATCTGCTTTTTGTTCCCCATAGAAGACCTTCATTATGATGCAAAGGCATAAACCCTTTACGGATGGATAGAGCTGACCCCCTCCCGTGTTTAACTTCTATCAGTCACTTTACTTCTCTGTGTTGTTTCAGGTTACGGGCATCTTGCCGTGCTTGCTCGACGGTGATTGTTTCATCAGGTCCAATTCTTCATCTCCAGATCTTGGGATATTATTTGAACTTGGAATTTCTTATATTCGCAATGTATGTCCGGTGAAAGATGAAGCTTTCTAATAGAACAGTTAATTGGGAAGTTTTATTTTGATAAGTAATTGAGGTTTTTATGTGTAATAGAAGTTTAATCTCTTGAGGAATGAGAATGGCAGTGATTCTGATTTCTTATGACGCTGCTCTTCCAGTAGTGTTTAAAATAAAAGTGTATTTGTTTATATTTAGAGCTTGAGTAAAGTCTAGTGCTTTAAAAGAATGTAGATTTGAAAAAGATGGGACTTTGCAGAAAGTGATAAAAGATGCTCAATTGCTTTCCAGCACAGGGCTTTCCCTCTGTCTAGAGGGTCAAGGTACCCTCAACTGTGTAACTGGGGTTCTCGTTAAGGGACCTGGCAAAGTATAGTTTTGATAAAGGGAACTCCGGAAACTTGGATTAATTTACATCATATAAACTCTTGAACCAGTGTGTGTGGGTCTGTGACAGTAATTGTATGTCTCCGTATTCTACCAACAGCTTGTTAGGTACAGTGTGTGTCCTTGGCCTCACGGTAACCCAGAGAGCTGACTGTTACTACATTAATGCCACACCAGCCTTTCATTTCTTTAAGGCAGATCCATCCATGTGTTGTGGGTGAGCAGGACGGGAGAGAGGGGCAGGTCCCCCAGGTGGCCTTGACAGTTGGCAGTGGGGATAAAGTTCTGAACAGGAAGACCCTTGGATCATCTAATTGGCCCATTCCATTTCTCACCGAGACACAGCCTCATACTCTTATGTGGTGTCCATGTGATCTGAGATTTTTCTATGGCATGTTTACATCACTCAAGAAGCAGCAGCGACAGTTGCCACATCATCAAGTGGCAGTTTAACAAGATAAGATTTTTACTTTCCATCCCGCCTTTACCATCTGGCCTGCAAGTCGAAGGGGACTTCACTGATTTCACTTTATTTTCTTGTGAAGAATTTTTTTAGTTCAAAGGCAAATACTAATTTCGTTTCTTTGAAAAGAACTTGGTGTGTGTTTATTTGACTAGCTCAGACATTGATTTCATACACTTTTTTATTTCCTAGTCAACTGGTGAAAGAGGAGAATTAAGTTGTGGCTGGGTGTTCCTGAAACTTTTCGATGCCAGTGGAATTCCTATTCCAGCAAAGTAAGTTGGCTATATATTCCTTCCAAACGGGTGATTTTGTAGAAATTCATCTTTTAGACTAGATATCTCAGGTCTGTAGAGTGTGTGTTCTGTTAGCATTTCAGGAACTTGGGAGGAGAGGGCCCTCAGTGTTGATTTTGGTGTTCTTTTGGGTAGTGGAAGGAAGCAGTACGCCTGGTCGCATCGTGGGTTGGAAGAAATGACACATACAGAAGAGGTTTTTAAAAGATGTCTGCACCAGCTGTCTGCTAAGTGTACTCCTTCAGTAACTTCCAGTGCTGTTAGCCCATTTCACAGAGCTGAAACAGCCTGAGTCTCTCCCAGGGGTGCAAAAGCCGGGTCCCTAGGTCCTCCGTGACTCTGCCTTTCTTCTGTGGGTGCTACATGGAAATTGTACCAGCAGCCCCTGTAAACAAATCCAAATTTAAGACCAAAAAGCAAATATTTACAATATATTTGAAGTGTATACGTAACAGTCAGAAGATTATTATCCCTAATATAAAAAGTGCTCTCAAAAATGACGAAGAAGACAATCCAGATTTGAAAGTGGGCACACACGAAACATCTACGTCTAGGATGTAAATGAGAAACTCACGGAAGAGGTACAGACGTCAGTAGGATGATTATTAAGATCCCAGGTTTGGAATGATGACATTCAGGGCCGCGGTGCTGGCTCTGTCTGTGTAACTGTAAGCAGGTTCCTTAATGTCTCCAAGCCTCGACTTCCCCATCTCTAGAATGGGGGATTATCATAGTTCGTAACCCTAAAGGCTTGATTCAAATAACGCTCCCCTTCCACCTCTACTGACACCACACAGTAGGCGTGGCCTCCTTACCACAGGTCACGTCAAAGTCCTGAGTCCACTCGTCCTCCTCTGACGTCACCCCAGTGGGAGGGGGAGGGGCACTTTCTCACCCCCCTACCCCCTCCCACTCCCTGTAAGTGTAGAAGCCCACGTTTCTTGTGATTTTTTTGGTTTTTGTTTCTAACAATGTTCAGGGTTTTTAGTTGTACTTAGTGGGAGGGAAAAGTGTATCTACTCAGTTTTTCTTAAAGTGAAGTGATAGGTTTTTTTTTTCCAAATGGGGTGCAGGCCTATGTATTGTTACAGAAACATCTCCAATATATATTATTTTACGAAAACAGCAAGTTGCAGAATCTTCTGTGTGCTGTGGCTCCACTTCTGCTCACAGAGAACTGTGCTCGTGTGCATATGTGTAAGCTGTTGCCCGAGGTCGCCTCTGGGGAGTAGGGGTGGGGTGGTGCTGCAGGATTAAGGAGGGCTCTGACCTGCTTTCCACACTCACTCCCATGTCACGCAGCTTTCAGAGGCTGCATTTGCTTAGAAAAAAATAGGACGGGGGCTGCCGAACTAGGGGAAACGGAGGGGGAAAGATTTCTCATTTTTTTACTTCTCATTACTCTGCCATTTGAACTTTTTACAACAATCTACATTACTTTTATATTTTAAAAATAATAGAAATTAATAATAGCTTAATTTCAAATGATTCGAAACATTTGAAAAATACGTTTACATAACACAAGTCATTAAAGTCAAAACATCTTAATGACATCAGTTAATCTTTCTCATTTTAATGGGGAAAAATTTATTTTCTATAGTGTATAGTTAAGACAGAGACTCTAGTCACTGAGATGGTGACCTCACGGAGGGCAGGGTCAACTTTCATTCTCATTTCCCAGTGAGGCATAAATAAAATGTTTGTGCTGTAAGATATTCCACTATGAAGTCCAGTGTTTCACAGTGTCCATAACGTGCATCCGCATCCACGTATATTTCTTTTGTAGAACTTACGAACTCTTCCTGAATGGAGGCACCCCTTATGAAAAAGGTGTTGAAGTGGACCCTTCAGTATCCAGAAGAGGTACTGCACTTAAGTGTCACCTTCTTTCCTGTCCTTAAAGATTAAACAACCAGAAGATGCATCCGGGAAAATAGCTTTAGTTTAATAAGCTTCACACTTTTCACTTGAATTCACATTTTTTAAAAAATACATCATTTGATATTACAATCTGCATCATTTTTATCGAAGTGCTAATTTTCTCAGGAGCACACAGGAGACTCCAACGTAGGAAGGCAGGAAGCCTGAGGACCCTGCGTCCGTCCCTTTGCATTGAACACCGGGCCCCAGAATTAACTGAATAGGCCAGCTCAGAGATTGCGTATCGCTAGGGCACAGGGTGTGGACATTTGAAATCGTGATATACGTGCCACGTTGCCCTCCAGAAATATTGAGAGTCTTTTGAGGTGTTCGTTGACCAGGCGCTGTGCTAGAAGGCAGGAAAATGGAGAATTAGACAGGTACGGCCCCTGCCTCTTGGAGCTCAAAGCCCGGCAGCTTTGAAAGCCCCCTCTTGCGCCTCAGACCTCCTTCTCCTCGCTTCCTGGTTTAGGACACGCAGCACTGCTGCCGCCCCGTGATGCCAGCCCCGCCTTCCTGAGACGGGAGGGCGTCTGGGGTCTGGGATGCAGTTAGTTCCACCTGGAGTCAGAGGCAGTTGGTTCTGCCTGGAGTCAGACATGCTCTTCAAACTCCCCTTTTCTTTGTAATCTGGCAGCGGTGATGCTGTCAGAGCGTCTGATGTAGTGGCAGCTGGAGGGGGGCCAGCTGGGTACCTTAGGAAGGACGTGAGGAGGCATCATACTCTTACCAGCTCACTTAGGGGTTATGAGTGACCCCTGCCTTTCATACGATTCAGCACCATTGGTGCTGAAGAACTATGTTTTATTTTATATGAAATTTTTTATGTAAAATACTCTTTTATTATATTCACTGCCTACACCCTTAAAGTTTAGAGATTTATTTTTTAATTTTTTTTAAAGCACACAGTAGTGTTTTCCATCAGATGATGACAATGAGAAGGCGGCCTCAACTTCTAGTAAAACTAAGATCTTTGAACGGAAGATCAAGAAACATGCTAAGGTTGGTACCTGCTTTTACTTGTCTGAACTTGGGGTCATTCAGCATTTGTAGATCGTCTCTGCTTCTGGCTTCTCCCCTTGCTTGGTCATCTTTTGTTAGTTTTTTTCCCTCACTAATTCCTCTGCCAAAGATCAACAGAGAGATGGGGAAAGCTGTAAAGTAGAGAGACAGGGAACACCATAAAGCTGTAAAGAGATTTAATGAAAAGAAAACATATGAAGTACTGAGCTAGTTTTATAACGCATGGCACACGGTGAAACGCATCCACCACAATGATGTGTTACTATAATTGTTACCATACATATGGATAAACAGAAATAGAATGGCAGCTGTCATAAAGTTTGTTCAGATGAGGATGTGCTATGTAGCTGGTAAGACCGAGGGGACTGGAAATAGGCTTGGAAGGTTTGGAAGGCATGGAGCGCACACAGTGGATGGGAGGTGGGGTGTGGAGGGAAGAGTGCAACCTGGGGACAGAGACTGAGGCATCGGAACGGCCCCACGTGCCCTGTGCTGCGCTCGCGCTGTCAAGAAGCAGGAGCCGGCACCCCTCTGTGAGTGATTGCTTTTCTGGCTCTGGATCGTGCGCTCAGTTTCAACAGCCCTTGTGCTTATCTCTAGGACTGGAATGTGTCTGCTATTTATAGTATGAAGAGTTAAATCTTTCAATAGCCATTAATAATGTGCTCATGGGTAATGTTCATTCTCTTGGCTTTTTCTCCCCTAGATGCCCATAGAGCCTATAAATGCCCTTTTTTGGTAAATCTTTCCTTGGACAATTGTTATTTTTCAAGATTTTTAAAAAAGCAGCACAGTAGCCGTCTTTGTAAGAGAGAAGCCAAAATCCTGCTTGGCCTCATTCCCGCCGCTCCATCCTCTCGTTGATAAGCTTCCGAGAGTCCAAAGCCCAGTGTGTCTTTCAAGTGCAGCTCTTAGCACTGTTTCTTTGGCCCCAAGTACTGGTTTGCAGATGCGCTTTCCAGCCTAGAGACCAGGTCGGACTGGGTGTGCAGAGGTCAGTAGGCAGGCCCCCTTCTCCCAGGGCGATGGGTGCTCTTCTGCGTGCTGGGTTCTTAAAAAAGGGTCCTGAGTCCTTGTTCCCCACTCCCCTGACCTCAGGAGCCGAGGCCCTCGTTGGTTATAGCATACAGTAGGCACCCAGAAAATGTCTGTGAAATGATTTCAAAGTAGAGATGTTTGTGCTAGTGTAAAAGTGTTCTCGTCAGGAGCTCCGCTCTGCCCCCTGCTGTCCCTGGCTCCTCCTGCCTTGTCCTGGCATGTGCTCCCCTCTCCTCCCTGAGCCCAGAGAGAGACGGGAGCGCTGTCTTGACATTGCCGCTGCATCGCATGATGCAGAAGTGTGGACTGCCGGGACCGCTGGTCCAACCACAGCCTCAGGCAGGCTCTCCCAGAGACAGACCATGGGCTCGGTGAAGCCAGAGGCCCCGGGCCTGGCTGCAGGGAGGGCCACGGGCTGTGCTGTGGGTTCAGGATGAGATGCAACTTGGGGCATCACTGCCCTGAGCCTGCACGCCCTGGAGGTGGGGACTGGGGCAGAACTGATTCCTCTCCATCTCCTCTCCGTGGCCTCCTGCAGTGGGTGGGAAAGAAGGCCAGTGATGATACCAACCCTCCACACCTGTCCCCACTCTCTCTTGCTTAAGAACTTCATATTTATTTAGCCAAATTTCTCTGCTTAAAGGAGAAATGGCAGGGACTGTTTTTGTTACGCCTCGGGACAGACACCAACGCAGGCAGGGCCAAGGGCGGGAAGCCCAGGTGTGATCTGTGTCAGTGCCCAGTTTGCCCAGTATCCTTGCCGGTCGGCTTCTTCCTGCCCTCTCACCTGCTAGCAGTCCTCCGCGTGTGTCCTTTGGATGTCAGGAGCCCTGTGAAGATGCGGAGGAGTCACTGTACACTCATCTTCCTTCCCTAGGAAGCAGCACCTGAGTCCTGCCATGGGTCTGCTTTTATGTGATCGTGTCGACCTCTCAGCTGAGATGGCAGAGGGACCAAATAGATCTTCAGTGTCACTGAGACTTGCCTTTCTGATTTGGGAGCTGTGTTTTGATGGGGTTTAACTTGATGCGATCTGGCCAAACATGTGCTTTTAAGCCCCTGCTGAGGGAAAGCCCTGAATTTGGGCCCAGACTCCCAGTGCACTGGTTCTGAATACCGAGAAACACTGGTCTATAGAAGTAGGCTATGTCCCTGCGTATGAAGTTACTATAAATGTATGTTCATTGCACTTTGCTTGTCTGTCTATGAGGTCAGAAGTAATATATTTTTCCTTCTTCAGCTCCGAGCTTTCTGGTCATCTTGGGTTTGGCAAAATCAAAGGATTTCCCTAAAGGAAACGCTAATAAAGAGCTAGCAGCGTTGGCTCCGTCGTGGGGAGGTGCCAGCAGGAAGGGAGGGCCCAGGCGGCCGGCACTGCAGGGCTCTCCTGCAGGCTGGACGCGGTGCCTGCCCGACAGATAGAGCAGGCGGCTCTGTGAGAGCAGGGGAGGGAAGAATGGAAGGAAGCTTCCACCCCTTCCCCTAGCAAAATTAATGGCTGTTTTTCAGCATGAGACATAAGTTTGGGCATGCAGCTGAAATGCTGCCCACACGAGCCGCAGGCCAGCGGGCAGGTTGTAGGAATCACAGCGTGAACACCGAGAAGGCAGGTGGTGGCCTCCAGGCAGCTCAAGTGTCCCCTGCAGCCTAGGTCAGGCACATACCAGACAGAATTTTAGCAGGGTTGGGAAAAGGTGATTTCTGGCTCTGTGTACCAAATGCTGTATATGAATGTCACTATGCTGAGAGAATCCATCTTGCATTTTGGGGTGATTCTATAAATGCAATGGTTAGGAAGCGGTCAAGGGTACTTATCCAAATTCCCCGAAGCTACCCATGGGGACCCATGGCTCCTGCACCATCGTAAGGGTCACGTTCTATTTTCTATTTTCTTCCTGGAAGCCTGGATCTTACCTCTGTGATGAATTTTCTCTTCTAAAATTCTCATCCTAGAAATTAAAATAAAGGATTCAATTCCAAAAGTTAAAGTCTCTTTTAATTTCAGGTGGTTTTTCTTAGCCCAAAGACATCTTCCTCTTCGACAGAAGACATTGTTTGCAAGGCTTTTGAGATTTCCTCTATGGTCATCTTTCATGCTTAATGACAGAGTCCCTGTATTTCTAAAAATAACACTTAGAAAATGTGAGTTCAGAATGATTGAAGACATTTTCTAGAGTATTTGCTAAGGTTAACGCTTGTGCTCGGTATGTCCCAGGTAAGTAGTGTGCACCAGATGTCAAGGTTTTAAAGTATGTCCCTTGTCATGTTTCCAGATTATTATTTTGAAATCTAAATATTGAAATTGTGTTTCTGTTTTTTTTTTATTCCCAAGTATTTTCTCTCTTTGGATGCTATTATATATGGAACTGTTTTAATTTCCTTTTCCAAGTGTTCATTGTTAGTGTATAGAAACGTGACTGATTTTTGTACGTTGATTTTATATCCTGCTTTTGTTTTTCTCTTCTAGTTCCTTAAAGTGTAAAGTTAGGTTGTTGTTTGGAATCTTTCTTCTCTTTTAATGTAAGCATTTGCAGCTGTAAATGTTCCCTCTTAGCGCTGCCTCCACTGCACCGCCCGCGTATCTGTGCAGTGTTTTCACTTTGTCTCAACATGTTTCCTAATTTCCCTGTGGTTTCTTCTTTGAGCCATTGGTTGCTTCAAAGTATGTGGTTTAATATCCACATATTTATGAATTTTCCAGTTTTCCTTCTGCTAGTGATTTCTAGGTTCATTCCATTGTGATCAGAAAAGATGCTTTGGGAGAAAAAAAAGAAAAAACATACTTTGTATGATTTGTTTTTTAAATTGTTAAGACTTGTTTTGTGGCCTAAACTATGGCAGTCCTAGAGAATGCCCCACGTGCACCTGAGGAAAATACATAGCCTGCTGTTGGGCGGTGTCTGTGGCTGGCCGTCAGTCACAGTTGGTCTACGGTGTCGTTCAGGTTTCTTCTCACTGATCTTCTGTCCGGTGTTCTGTCCCTTATTGGAAGTGGGGGATTGAAGTCTCCTACTGTGACTGTACACCTGTCTGTTTCTCTCTTCAGTTCTGTCAGTGTTTGCTTCGTGTATCAAGGAGCCCTAATGTTTGCTGTGTGTGTTTATAATTGCTGTATCTTCTTGATGAATTGACCCTTTTATCATTGTATAATATTCTTCTTTGTCTCTTGTAACAGCTTTTTGGCTTAAAGTCTGTCTGATATTAATAGAGCCACCCCTGCTCTTTTTTGTTTGGTATTTGCATGGAATATCCTTGGCTAGCCTTTCATTTTCAACTTATGAGTGTCCTTAGATCTAAAGGGAGTCTCTTGTAGATAGAATATAGTTGGATCCTGTTTTTTATCCATTCTGCCAGTCTGTGTCTTTTGATTGGAGAGTTTAATCCATTTACATTAACTAGTGACAGGGAAAAACTTAGTACTGCCATGTTGTTACTTGTTTTCTGTACGTGTTAATATGTTTCATCCCGCATTTCCTCCCATATGCCTTCCTTTTAATTGATTTTTTTGTAGTGATGCATTTTGACTCCCTTTTCCTTTCCTTTTGTGTATATTCTATCGTTTTTTCTCTTGATTACCATGTGAATTACATACAACATCATAAAGTTCTCACAATCTGTTTTAAACTGTTACCAACTTAACTTCATTATTGAAATTTTTTTTGTTTCTGAGCCCTTTCTGTGGACCAGGCGTTGCATTAAGCATTCCACATTTACTTCATTTTAATCCTTTTAGTAACCTTCTGAGATGCAGGTATGACTGTGTTTTACAAATGAAGAAACCAAAACACAAGGAGAATAAATAATCAGCCCGAAGTCACATAGCTAGGAGGTAGCAAAGTCAGAATTCAGCTAGGTCCACCACACCCTCCTGCGCTCCGCCCAGCGCCATGAGCTGTAAACTCGTGTTTCCTCTGCATTCGTCACATCAGGTGGGGTGGCAACGGGGTGGCTTTGTTAAAACTTGTAGCTGACTAGCCCCATTCTTTCTAAAACACATGATTGACGACTTCTCTTTTTTATTTGACATGTAGCGTGGGTATATATGCTGAAATGGAGGGACAGGAATGGTAACACAGAGTAACGACTTGAAAGTAGACACATGAAAATGGAAGTTTTCTGAAGTTTGATGTAGCCGATTTATAGTGGAAATTTTTCTTGAAATTGTTAGAACTTTTTTCAATAATAAAGTAAAACTTGGAACTATCCATTAAAGTAATAAGGGTACACATAAAAAAGAAAAACACCATAGGGTACAAAGAAAACAAACTGGTTACCAGGGGGAAACAGGGGGAGGGGTAGATTAGAAGTTTGGGATTAACAAATACACACTACTATAGATAAACTAGATAAACCACAAGGACCTGCAGTATAGCACAGGGAACTGTATTCAATTTCTTGTAATGAGCCATAATGGAAAAGAAACTGAAAAAAAATGTATGTATGTATACGTATAACTGAATCGCTTTCTGTACACCTGAAACTAACGTAAATCAACTACAGTTCAATCAAAAATAGGAATTAAAAAAAAAGCACCGTTAGGCTGGGATTGTAGGGAATTGTTTAATGAGTACATTTTTTTCTTCTTTAATAGCCTCCTGCCAGAAACGTTAATCGGAAGTATGTGCTCCGTTCACTTGTTGATATTTTATCGCCAGATTCTTGGTGACGTGCTCCTGAGAGACAGGACGAGCCCTGACAGTGCTGGTGAGAGGCCCTCGCGTTTCCCTAACACACGATGCAGAGCTCACATCACGCTTGCTCTAAGTAAATGCAGTCCTTGCCGTCTCTTCTGAGGGTGACATATGGAATAAAATATGCAGAATAGTGTCACTGTCCATAAAGGACTTCAGGCGCGAAGCACTGCGCCCGGTGTGCATCCTGTGTGAGCTTAGTACATTTTCCCTCCTTTAACAGTATACATGCTTTCACGTCTCAGATTCTGGAGATCCTGAAACTCAGCTATAATCATCTGTCCCGTTAATTCTTTAATAACGGCTGTCCCATGTGTGTAATACGTATACCATCTTTTGGGGTAGACACCAAAATTACCCAGAATAACTGGTTCTTAACTTACGAAGTTTAAAAATGAGTAAAATCGGTGAATCCAGGTAAGAGACAGAAAGATGTTCTATTTTTATTCTTAGAACTTTTTTGTAAGCTTGAAACTTTTTCCAAGTAAAATGTTAAAAAGTAATTGTAAAAAATCGAGTTGTCACACATGATTGAACCTGCAAAGAGATAGGCATGCGTTGTAAGAATTGCCTCCCCCAAAAAAGAAAGTTTAATTTTACTGGAAATTCTTTGAATTCAGTACATCGGTACGCCGGTGTGTGGTGAGTGCCTGCTCGACGCCGGCGTTGTGCTAGGCCCAGGAATGAAAGAGACCGGTACCGACATCCCTGCCCTGGTGGGACAGCAGACTTCAAACACAAAATTGCGTGAATTATCCTTTTTAAGCTTAAGTGTTCTGAAGGAAAACACAATAAGAGCACACACCAGGAAGACCAGAGTTCCTGTGTAGAGTGAGGGAAGTAATATTTAAGATGGTAAGACCAAGAGAGGAGTTAGGTATGTGGGGGAGGCGGGCAAAGGGGGGTCCTTTCTGGATAGAGGGGCCAACACACCTGAAGACCCAGGGCCAGTAAAGCTCAGTGCCTTGGAGGGGCTGGAACGGAAAGCAGGCCAGCGCGGCTGGAGCCGAGGAAGAGCCCCATGAAGGACCATCCTCGCTTACAAGGAGAGGCCGTGGTTGGACAGGAGTCCTCTCCCGGGGACTTACCACCTGGGCAAGTAGGTAGAACTGGAACTCAAGGTCAAAGCAGCACCAGCATCTCTCAGGGAGTAATCATAGCTAAAGGGAGCACGGTTCAAGCCTTTTCATCATCACTTGTGTTTGAATTTATTGGGATGACTCTAAAAAACTTCATGAATGCTATGTCTTCTTAAAGAAGATAAGATTTACTAGTTTTCCTCTAGGTAAGGGAAAAGCTACTCAGAATTGTTGACTTCATTGGAGTCTGAGCATCGGAATAAACCTAGTAAGATCTAGAGAAAGGATTTTTCTCTGCCAAGGACACGTGATTCTAGAGTTTACTGCCCTTGCTGTTTCTGAAGTGTCCTTCCAGGGCTCTTTGGACAGAATTCCTCGTGCCTCTATTGACTGAGAGATAGCAGTGTTCTCCTGCGCAGGACTTAGGCACGTGGCCAGGATCCCCAACTCCGGATTCCTTCTGATCTCATCCATCGCCATCCGGTGGCCCCAGACGGGGGTCCTCCCCTGAGCAGTGGTGACCTGGAGTTGGGCCTGAGCCGCCCACCCTCCACCTCCTCTCCCTTGGTGCTTCCTGGTTCCTGCTCAGCCTTGCCAGAGGATGGGTGCCTCCTAATTCCTCTTAACACAACACACTTAAGTCATAAGGAGGAAAGAGAGGCTGAAAAAAAAACATAGAAAGAAAAACAAAATTTTCTGGTCCTACTCCATTCAGAGCTGCTTTACTGCCCCGTCTGCTTGGTACAGGCTCATCAGAACCCCCCGGGGTGCGGGCGTAGGGGCAGGAGGAGATGGAGGGGACAGCTCTGAGCCCGCCTAGAGATTAAAGTGAGCAGAATGCGTCATCGACAGATCATGTAGTGCAGTAATTTTAATATGAATTTTTATGTCTCTTGTAGTCAGATACAGTGGGTGAACTTTATTTGAAATGCTTTTTGTCCTCTTGTATTTCAGATTTAATTAGTAATCCTGTGCTGGCCACCTTCCCCAAGCTCTTAGAGCAGCCTGACCTCATGGATGCACTCAGGGTGGGTAGTGTGCGCATCACGGTGGAGACCCGATGGGTCCTGGAAGCGGTTAAACACACCGCGGTAGTGAGTTCTGACACCTGCTCTGAGTTCTTTTCCTTCTCTACGTGGATGATGTCTTCTGAGCCCTGTCCTCCGTCCAGCTAACTTGGTCTTGCCTTCCTTCCCCACTGTGACTGTTACCTCCCCGGGGCCTTGCCTGACCCGGAAGCTGGGTTCACTATTGCATGGCTTAAGATGGCCATTGATTGTGTTCTAAGCGCAAAAATCCAAAGTGCTTTGTTAGATAAATTGACTGAGTATTCAGGGGAGAAACAGGACATGCATATTATTTTTATTTTTATTCGACATATGTTATGTGCTGTATAAAATAGCAGTTGGATATGAGGTTGAACCATCTGAAATCTCTAATTTTTAGCCTTTTTTTTGGCCTTCAAAAATGGCAGCTTCATAAAGTTCAGCTTAAGCATCAGACTCAACAAATATTGGGAGACCTTCTGCGCCTGCAAGGCAAGTGCTCAGATAACATGAGCGCAGTAGGGGTGCATAATCCAGGTCCTCGAGGGTTAAAGGCAGCAGCAAATGAGGCATTTGATTAAAGAGGTCCTGGGTGAGATGGACCTAATGAAAGGCTGGGGGCCAAGTCAGGTTTGGACCTGCTGCACTGGGGGTGGAAGACAGTGCAGGTGGAGGGGTCAGCGTGAGCAAACATTTTGAGGCAGGAAGGACTAGAGTGTGTTCTTGAGAAGGACGGTGACCCAGGGTGGCCCGTCGAATGTCATCTCTAGACGGTCAGGGTTGGTCTGAGTCTCATTTTGTGGTAGGTGGTGGGCAGTCCGTGAAGGCTTTTGCTTTAGGAAAATGCCTGACAGCACAGAGAGGTAGAAAAGCACGCGTGTGGGGCAGGGGGCCGGGGGCTGTGCTGGGAGGTGACTCCTGTTGGTAAGAGGGGAGGTCGTACGGGCCTGGGGCAGTGGGAAGAGGAAGCAGATATCTACAAGGATGCTTATTCACCTTTGATTTCATGTGATAGTTGCACTGGGGAGGGGGTGTCAACAGTAAAGATGAGGTTTTTAGCAAAAAGATGTAAGAAAATACTCACAGCATGTAATTAGCCGTAATTTCAGACAAGTTCAGTTGGCACTGGAGTTAGTAATGCAGAATTGCTCTTTCCCTGTAAAGTCATCAGTATCCTAACATTTATTCATTATACAAAACATACATACATTGATTCATTCAACAAACATTTCACGGGAGCCCACTGTGGCTAAGGCATCCTGCCGGGCATTGACAGGTCTTCGGTTCATAGTTCTGTGGGGTTAACTGAACTCTGGATTTTGTATTTCTTTAAAGAAGCTTTTGTGAAAGCTTGTGGACAGATGGGAAATGTTTACCAGCAAAGCTGTGCTTTATTTTATCTCACCCTGAACACCGTCATCACCTCGGCAGACAGAACTGCAGAGAAGTGTGGGATTTGGCAGAGCTTTCCTTTTTCACGACTGTCTTACCTGAAAGCTTAATACTATTTTATTGTTCAGGTGTTATGTTGGTGCAGTGTGCATGGATGTGTTAGTGTCTCACTAATTCTGTTCTTAAATTAGTTTGACTTGTAAGAATCATGGGCTTACATCCCACCTTGTCAGTTTGGTTCTGGGTCATTAGCAATTGATGCCTGATGAGAGACTGACTTCTTACACGTGCCCTGAACAGCGTTTTTAACCCTGTCTGTCCATTTAGTTACAGGGTGAAGTTGCAGAGTGTGGCAAAGACTTGTGAATACTTGGATTAATGTAATATTTCTGTTTGCTTTTTAGAGCTCCTGGGCTGAGAAAGAAAGTACATTAAAAAGATCGGAGAAGGTAATGTGCTTGTCCACAGTGAACCTCATGTGTGCAGTGCTCAGTATTTGCTTCAGATTCTGATCATGTCTCCTTTTTTTAGCTCAAGTAGCCACAATCGTAATCCCTCTTAACAGTTAAACTGTGTTATTATGGTTGCAGAGACCCCTTAGAAAAAGGGCGTGGGTGATCGATTCCTAGTGTAAAAAGAAACACTTGATCAAGTCATTTCAGGTCACTCAGTTTTATTTAATTGACGGGAAATTTCTAAGCCAAAGTGTCCCAGTTGGCGATCAGATTTCTCTCATTTAAAAAAGTTCCCCTAGACATTATGCTGTACGCCAGAAACTGACACACTGTATCTGACTATACCTCAATTAAAAAAAAGGAAAAAAACAAAAAACTCCCCTAGCTCTCAAAGTCCATCTCGGGTGAAGAGAAGGAAGAAGAAAACAGGCTTAAGCCACAGCACACGTCAAGCGCGTGGCGGTGCTGACCGTGCCGGGGAGCATGGGCATCACCAGGCAGGACTCGCAGGCATCAGTGAGTCGGGGCTTGACTGCTCTGGTCCGGGCTTGGCAGACTTTTTCTGTAAAGGACCAGAGAGTAGATATTTTTGGCTTTGCAGGCCACGTGGGCCCTGTCACAAAGTCTCAGCTCTGCCCTCGTAACACAAGGCAGCTACTGATAATACATGAACAGCTGGGCAGGGCTATTTTCTATAAAACTATTTATTAAAAAAAAAAAAGCAGGGCTGCATTGGGCCCATGGTCCATAATTTTCGGACTTCTAATCTGAATTTTTAATTATGCTCAAGGGACATGGGAGAATAAGCAAACTAAAGACCCTAAAAATTGGTGGGGGGATGCATATATATTGTATCCTTCTTGGAGCTTCCATTTGACCAGTGCCCTCTACACTTGACCTTTGCTAGAGCTGGAAGGTTTAATGCTGTTCTAGTTCAGCAGCGGGCAGGCGCTGGGCTCTGGCCTGCAGAAGTTGCCCCTGCACACGTGGTGTGCCTGGAGAGGCCGTGTCTCTGTGCAGGTGCTGCGCGGGCTGAGATTCCCACCCCGACTGTCCATCACATCTTACTCCCCGGGGCTCCTCTCTCTGGATTTCATGCAGAGCACTTGCTACCCTTCTCCTGGAACACCTTGACCTAATTCAGTGATACAGTCGATTTCACATGGTGTCTTAGTTATGTTCACCTGGAGCTGCACCCTTGTCCCCAGAATTAGGCTTCAGCGCCCCAGTCTCTTTGATGGAATGTTTGAGGCACTCTCAGTGGAGCTCAGAGGGCACCCTGGTCTCAAGGAGCCTCTCAGACCCCCCGAGAGAACTGCTTGTCTCTGCTCTGGTGGCTCCTCTGGTTCCACGTCAGAGGGAGCCGGGTCCTGACTGAGCATCGGCTTCAGAGCTGATCACCTGCCAGGCGCTCATGGCACCGCCATCCCGCCCCTTAGACAGCTTTTAGTTACCAGAGCTCATAGAACTTAACACTTGAAAAATAATGACGTGGTCCATTCACAACCACTGGTGGTGCTGGTGTTTTCCCAGAGAGACAGGGAGTTCCTGAAGGCTGTGTTTCTCCTGGTTTACCACGACTGCGCGCTCCCCCTCCTCCACTCCACACTCCTGCCCCCGTTCAGATGGGCGGAAGAAGAGACCGAGGCCGCCCGCTGGAAGGTCATCGCCGGCTTCCTCAAGCAGAACCAAGAGAACGAGGGTGCCCTCCAAGCTCTGCTGTCGCCCGAGGGAATCCATGAGCCTTTTGACATCTCAGAGCAGACCTATGACTTCTTGGGTGAAATCAGAAAGATCGCGACCTGACAGTGGTGGTCCTGACCCTCCCCACAGGACCTGATGGGCCCTCCACAATGACCTGAGTAAAGTGACAAAACCAGAAGTAACTGTCACAGTATAACAGGCTTTATTCTTTTTGGTACCGGCCACATTCTGTAAGAAATATTTATTAATTTGAATATGTGTTAACATAATAAAAGACACTTTTATAAGGAATTCTGTTATATCTAAATTTAAAGAGAATTTTTTTCAGAAACTAACTCACAAATTTAAGTTGCCTATAGATTTGTATAAAAGCAAGATACTATCAAAAGCTAAATTTATGATTATTTAAGAAAGTGAAAATGCAGCCCACAGAACAGGAGAAGATATTTGCAAATGATAGATCTGAGAAGAGTCTTGGATCCAGAATGTATAAATGTATGATTTTTGCTAATAACATGTATATTGTGAAATGAAATGAAGGGGAGATCAGAGTAATCTATTTGAGAAAGTTATTAATTGCTTAATTCAGTCTAATATTTGAATGTGGTTTATTCTTACTAGAAAATAAAGCAGAATCTAGTTTTGCCTTCTCAAGCTCATATTATAAGTGCTCTTTTTTAAAAAAAAAACAAACTTCCAGGCTTTGAGGGATAAGCTAACCCACCCCCCTGTCAAAGAACAGACTTTGTTGCATTTCTGGTAACCTTGTCACTGCGGGTAAATGGCCCCAGACCCTCGCTGTTAATGATATCAGCGCAGCTGGCGTTTATTGAGTGCCTGCTGTGTGTTCTCATTTAACTGGGTTAAGCCGCACAACTACAATAGGGTGTCGGCACTGAGTTTTTGGGGGGTTTTTTTCCCCCTGTATTATTGCAGAAGAAACCAGCCAGGCAGACCAAGTAAGTTGCCTAAAGTCGGAGCTGGTGAGCAGCCTGGCTAATATACCGAGTAAAGATTCCAAGTATCTTCTACAGCCCAAGACGTTCCCCTCATCAGTGCAAACATTTAAGACTTGCATGTGAAAATAAAACACGAGGAGGCTGTTTGTAGACAAATATGATCAAATTGGAGTTTAACCCAAATTATCAGAGTCCCAGCTGAGTTTCCTTTTTTTTTTTTGACAGTGCGCTGCCTTAAAGGAGGCGGTTACTTTTAGAGCCCACTGTATTATGAAATTCCTGGGCTACCTCTTAGTTAGCTTATGCTAAACCCTTAACCTGCACTTAGCCTGGGCCTCCAGCTCAGGAGTCAACATGGTATAGAAGGCCTCCCAGCCCGAAATGTCAAGGGAGAACTTGGCCTTGGAGAAGAGAGTTCACGATGTCTCCAGGAGCTGATGTCCCGAGATTATCTTAAGGTGGTGCCTCCTGCCCTCTCTGGGACCACGGCCCTCCCCAGCTCCCGCTCAGGGGGATAGGGGTCCCCGCCTTTGCAAGTGGGGGTGGTGGGGGCACACACAGGGATTTCCCCACTCTTTCAGAGTTGTCTCCTCTTAGGTCCCTGCTGTCTTGTTTGAAGGAACGTGAAACCATGTCACGCCCCATAGTGGAGGTCATTTCTCTGTAGAATCTTTAATTCCTAAATTCTGCCTTTTGACTTTTCTGATCATTTAGCTTATTCGTAGCATCAAGCCAGATGTGGGGCGTTTTGAGTGAAAGAAAATACTGCTGGTGAATTCCTTTCAGTGAACACACACAGCGTGGAGAGAGGGGGAGCTTTCTTTAAGTGTTTTCAGACTGCCTTCCGTGTTCGTTTGAAATGTGTCATGACTGACGAACGTGGGCAAATTTAGAGTTTCTGACACATAAGACAAACATGGAGACAGGAGAGAAAACAGTTTCTGTAACGCTCAGGCCCAAGAGTGAGGCGCGAAGGCGGTCAGTCGGCCCAGACAGGATGGTCCCTCAGGGTGAGGAGGGGACAGTTAGTTACACGGGGCTGAAGGGGGATGGTCCTGCAGGGGTAGGGGGGGCCCCGCAGGGGTGAGGAGGGGACAGTTCCTCAGGGGCCGGGGCGGCTCCGCCATTGGGAGACTGCCCCTTCCCTCTTCGGTCAGTGGAGGCTTCTTTTTAAACAATGAAGCCTCTCTGGCTTTTTTAATGCCACTTTTTCGCTTCCAAAACAGGAAGAGGTTGTCAAGGAGCCAAAAACATCCTGGAAATGAGTCCTGGGGCGTGACCTGGCAACACTTCGACTTCCCCGTGAGTCGAGGTGGCGGGGAGCAGCAAGGGGACAAGGCTGTGCGGGGCCTCCCTGTGCCAGGGTGGGAGGAGTGGGGGGATGGGGGGTCAGGTCTCTAATCAGGAACCGGGGGGGGGGGGGGGGGGGGGAGGCGGGCGGGCGGGTCTTACGTAACGTCGACGACGACGGACGGTCCGGACGACGCGCCGACG